ACCAACTTCTCTAGTTTTTCATATAAATTTCCATAGAATTCTCGTACAATTTCATTAATAGAAGTTGATAGCGGAACAAGAGTGCTGAGTAAGGTGTTAACGCATTCTTGATGTGCGACATTATGGACACTTGCAGTATTCGAACTAGTGAATGGGAGGAGGTTGTTTCGTGTATATGCACCAAAATGTTCTATGAAATTCTTCCAGAATTCACTGCTACGATGAGAGGGGTTATTTAAGGTATAAAAGTAATAATTGTTTATGGCATCAGTTGCTTGCACAACTGCTCTGGATTATTGAGTAATGCCAGATGTATTAAGGTTCGGCCATCCACGTCGGTTACACATTCTGGCTTTACAATATACCGTAACTGCACTAATCCTTTTAGTGATCGAAGATTACTACGCACAGAAATTATCATTTGGGCTTTTTTTTTCCGAGAGATACATGAGGTTACTAAAGAATCTTTATGATTTCGAAGTTCTATAGCATATTTAAGTTTTTTCCATTTACGTCGGAGATGTTGGCGCACATTTCTTCTTGTAAGTGGTTCTTCCATCCCTAACCATTGTCCAAGAAAAAGCCATAATTCTTCATTCAGATCTTTGGTTTTAGACTTAACACAATTGGCCTTAATTATTTCACTGTTAATAAGCATTAGAAAATCAGGTGGGATCTCGGGTAACTTAATATTATTTACTAATACAGCTTCTCGAATTAATGTTTCTATTAATAATTCTTCTGCTAAAACTTTTTCTTGGCTTTTAATTCCTTTTAACGAGGCTATGCGGTCAGATAGACAAAGGGGGACACTCTTCCATTCTTTTTCGATATAAAATATTTGTCTTGCGTACATAACCCCTGAGTTGCATGTTGGGTCCGATGCTAATAATTAATATCACAAAAAGAAAAATTATTATTAAGCCTATCAATAGGTTTTTAGATTTACTCTTCTTCTGCCTAATATTTTTGCGGACTGGACCAACCACCCTAACTAATTATTGGGTTATTAAAATAATAACCGTGTGTCTGTTGAACCACAAATATACACAGTAGAGGCCCTATCATTCCAATAGTAAAAATGAAATTTTTTGCGTAACTGAGTATATTCAATAATAGCTTGGAAAGGTCGACCGATCAACACAAAAACAATCCTAGCAGTTAGTTAGGAAAGACCTCGATAATTATAAATAATGTCTACCCGGTTCAGATCAAAAGTAATATCATTAATCGTTAATGCTATAGTTGGTGTGGTAGGTAAATTATGACCCATTGGTGGGATTGAAATTTGCTCTTGTTCAAGCCTACGTTTTTTATTATAACGAGCATGACGCGATAACTTTTTGACTGGTTTCTCTTGGGACATGTCAATAAGGTTGGAAATTTCATTTTTATTTTTACGTTTCTCAATAGATGCTTGCATTGTCTATAAAATTTTAAAAAACGTTCTCAATATGTTGCTGACGGGTGAAAGTTTTTAGCGAAATATAGCGAAGCTTACAATATTATAAAAAAAATAAATTATGGGCGTCTATATTGGGGTGTAACTCTTTTATTAGAAAATGAGATTATATCTTTAGATATACTTTCTCCTAACGCGTGTCAATTTATAAATTTGCCAAATATTTTATCAGCATACATAACTCGGCAATTTAATATTTGCAACGTATTTTTTTAAAAAAACAATAATTCGACATAGCAGTGTTAGCAAACAATCGCACGTCGCATCACAATAATTTAACATGATAATTACTACGTAAACAAATAATTAAATTGTTTACTAAATTCGGCACCACAATCATCGAACACGGGTAAGTCAACCAACAATTGCACATTTTCTATATTTGGGATTAGTGTTGAAATCCATATTTGTATACAGTAAAAATTTTACACGCTATATATACAAATTTAGAATAACCGTTATGTTGGCCAAGCACTAACCTCATGGCCGAAGACTTATCTCGGCACCGATCCATGCTGAAATAAATCGGGTATATGAAAATTCAAACTAATGGTACATTTGTGCCAGAAAAATAAAGCATTATCGCATGACTTAACGGCCTCACGGATCCGTATACATGTTTTTAGTCGAGGTTGAAATAACGATATTTGGGTTACGATAGCTAATAAATTAGCTATTTTTATTACTATCATAAGTCGCACGAAATTGGGTACGATGGCAAACTTAGTATACAACTAAAAGTGTAGGCTTCTCCAGATTTATTATATAAAATATTGGGAGAAGCCTACACTTTTTTAGATATATACTCAGGTATAGTGAAGCAAGGGTTGTGTTACTCGCAGAATTAATTCTTACGGAATTCTCATAGTCGAGCCAAATTTCAGTGTGATGCTTGACAATCGACACATGATACTGTATGTGGCTAAGGCTGATTTGGTACTATCGTGATGATATTCCTGATCACAACTTGTTCATCGATATATTAGTCTTAATATTTTGACTGTTTGTATAATATTAAAAGCGTAAACGGGCGAAGTTAAATCATACCATCCATTTAGGGCTATACCCAATCAGAGGTTAGTATTGGCGCTATGATAATTACCACGTAAGGTGAAAAAAAAAAATCGGATTTTTATATGATATAAATATACATAATTTACAAGAGATAATGAATTAGGACTTACGTCTATATCCAGTTGAAGAATTATGCAGTAGCTTTTCGTCTTACTCGTACTCCGTTCCTGGTAAATCGTGTAGATGTTCAGTCAGCATACGATTTCCGGATTCACTATAAAAATGGCAATACGAATTCAGAATAAGATCTGTGGATATTCGAGAAACAAATATGTGCGTTATTTTAGATTCGAAGCATCCTCCTTTCAGGAGACATAACTACGTATATATTAAGGTAATTTAACGTTAAAAAATAAAGTTCGTATTGCATATCGATAAAACTTTAACACTGTGTTAGTTACACAAAATTGGGTACGTATAAGGTTTTGTGATACTTTCTCGCAGAATTATTTCCCACAGTCGATTTTTTATTAATAACGCTAACGAATAATACTTAGGATCTTTTTCTTGTTATATATGATACCGCGATAAGACAAGCACGAATAAGATTTAAAAATGCTATAAGGAGAAATAGTAGAACATTCTTTATCAGTAGCTTTATCCAAATTTATATGTCATGGGGACTCAGAATTTCCAGATCGTCGAGATCGTTGACTTTTTCACTTCACGGTACCGATTGTTGAATCTAAAGGGGCTAAAAAACAGCAAAATATATTCAGTATTTGGGCCTTACAACCGAATGGAATTGCTTTGTTAAGTGTGATTTGGCAGTGTTAGAGTAGCGCAATTACTAATCATATAACTTTTTTTCTAGCAAGTTTTTTAGATCTAGTGAATGAAGGGTATAAAAATAAGCGATTTTTTGTTTCTTGTAGGTGGGTATTAATAACGTTTTTTTTACTCATATATATTTTTTTAAAAGTAATATATTTACTGTTTGATACGGTCTATGAAAACGAATTTTTACTCATGATGATGATTTTTTTGTATTTAGGAACGAAAAATGAGCAGTACTAACGATACCACCACCCCCACAACCAATGACACCACCCCCACGACTAATGACACCACCCCCACGACTAATAACACCACCACTACTACCACCATCACCACCACCTATGACACTACCACTCCCACGACTAATAACCCAACGCCATCTAAACCAAACCCCGTGGATATTACTCTAACTAGTAAGAAACCTTTTTATCTTTTGGTTTTGCCAACTTTACCAAAGCGATATTTTTCAGAATTAAGTTTTTTATTTCATTAACATTAGGAAAGCATGAAAAGATACGAAATGATGGATCAAGGTCAAGTGATACTGTAACTTTGAGAACAAGATCTAATGATGGTTCATTAGATTTTAATAAACTCCAAAAATTTCTAAACAAAAAATAAATATGCACAAAGTGCGGGTCTTCGACCCATAATTTTTTATTCGCATTATTTGTATATTGTCGTCCCAGCAATAATAATTTTTATAAATAAAGGGAGGGTCCGCTGGGCTCACAATTTTTTATTTTAACGCAATTATGTATGCGAAATTGAGCCAGCTTTATGACTCGAAGAGTCGCCCCTAAAGGGCCTAATATAGAAACAAAAATGAATTTCTCCTTTACGTATAAAAGTGCTTATGTGTCACATATCAGCAAAGCAGGCACAGCCAAATTTTATATATTTTTATCTGCTATTAAATAGCGCTACTTCGTGGCAAGAATTTAACATTAGTATATATATTATCACATTTACATCGCTTATATATTCCCTCTGCTACTTTTTTGCAGGTTTTGCAATATAGGTGTGAATAATGATTGCATTTGTCACAAACCTTACACCCGTGCTTCCACCCTTTAAAGATATGCCACTTTTCGATATAATTTCGACTTCTTTTATTTGTATTATTTCACATTTGTATATTAATAGAAAAAATAATATACACGTGGTTATTTTTTTTTATAGTGTACAAACCCGTAATTAGTGTACTTGCATTTATGCCCTATCTTGTTATATAAGCCTCATAAGGCAGGAGAATTTTATGAGGAAAAAAAAGTTAAGCCATTAAGCAGTAACATTTATAGGAGTACATGAGTTTAAAAATAATTGATAAGCGTATACATTGACTTTATTTATAGAAACAATAAGCATGTTTAGATAATGTTAAAACATGGAAAAACTTTGGCAAGTGTGACCAGGCGGTCACTGTTGAGTAAAAATTTGATATTCATCAAAATCGGAAAATTTTCGGTAGCTGTGACCAGGGCGGTCACACTTGAATAAAATTTGACGCAGTAAATTTCATTGGCTCGCTTTTAAAACCTTAGCTTTTACATAATCAATATCATCCACGCCCAGTCTCGAAATAGTTGACGCAGAAAAAGACTTAATACAATATATCTTTTCTTCCCCTCCAACCCCATCAAAGAGTTTAAAGATTTTTATTGCCCTTTCCTTCCTTTTTCTAAGATTAGCCTCTGAAACTTTGTCCTGGTCTGGAAAGTGCTCCCGAATTTTATCATTAACTAGAGAATTGGACGTATCCTCACTATATGTTTTTTTATAATGGTCAAACCATAACCTATACCCTTTCCCAAAATAATAATATGCATGAATCACTTCTAGAATAGTTTTTTTATTACCATCTTCGGCATTGATGATCTTATTATCTAGTTCACGAAAATTAACCGAGCTAATATCCATATCGGGGAATGTCTGTAGAGAAATAATACTACCAGAAGAGCTTTGCTGTGGAATTGGAGCGGACAATTCCTTGATAAGCTTTTTCAAAATGGGTGAATCTTCTCTTCTAACTGCTTTCTTTGCCTTCTTCTTGGGTGTAGATGAGTTGACGTCCGTACCTTCGTTGGAACGTTTTTTACTGCTGGTATCAGGTTGTTCTTCGCCATCAATACTCATTTCTTCTCCCTCTTCCGGTTCCATATTAGTTGATGGACATATAGGACATAGTTTTTGTAGATTATCGATACAATTGTAATGGATGATATGTTTGCAGGTTAAGTATATGAGTGGTTTCAAGGGACCTTGAAGTTGAGGAGAGAACCGAAGAAAGCCTATAGGTGGGAGACATGAAGAAAGATCTTCAGAACATTTGGCGCACCTCAAATTACTTTCGACTTGTTGGGTTGCCATACCCTCGATCCCTTCCATCCGTATAGGTGGTGAAGATAGGATGAATGTTTCGCCCATCAAAGGTGAAATTCCAGTTGATTGGAAGGCCTCCTTGGGATCAGTTAACGGCAAATTGGAAACAGTACCAAGGGGATTAGCTTGATCTAATATTTCCACATTCTTTCCACAACCTGGGAATGGACACGTGTTTGGAACAGTAAGTAAAAGCTTTTTTTCGATACAGAGTCTATGAAAAAGGTGTCCGCATGTTAGGTATGTAAATGCCTTGAGAGGAAATATTAAAATGTCATTGCCACATTCGGAGCATGGCCCTAGTTCTGTAATTTTTTTACCCTTAATAATACCATCCTTGAAGGTTTTTAGAATATTATATGCGAGATTTTTGATGTTATT